TATATATATATATATATATATATTTATTTATTTATTTTTGCAAGAACAGGAATATATTTGAATTGAGGTTGAATGGTATAAAAACAGAGTATGAGTTATAGTTTGTATATTTATTCAAAATACATATTTAAACATCATGAATGAGTCTGGGCTAGTAGTAGAAAGTCAGTGAGAACAAACACTCCCAATGCTCAGAAAAGGCACCTCTACACTGTAAGACACTCAGCTTTTCATCCTAAAATAGGATGAGGCAATACAACACAGTTCAGCCTAGAAAGCAAGGAAATATATCAATAACTGCACATGATAAATGTGCACAGAAAAGTAACACCTGTACAAAATACACAATAGTTAACAGTACGAATATGCTAGAAATATTCAGAATGAACAAGACAGTTAACACCAGGTGAGGTAATGAATGGCCAATCAGACAAACTCACATTCAACCTTTCATTCATCTGAAAAGCATGGAATAACAGAAACTTCTGCAGCCATGAGGCAGTTTTACGCAACTGCTGCCTAATTAAAGGGTTTCTTAAAATTAACATTCAAGAATATAATACAGCATGCATTACAGGCTACAAAAGTTCAGTAATCTGTATGTTAACTGCCAAGCATAATCCCTTGATTTGCCAATCTTAAAATATGCAGTATCCAAAAGCAGTGACATTTGAACACAAACATGGAAGAAATTGATGGAAGCACATAAATGCTGAAAATAATAGAGAAGTTTAAGTACCAAGCAAATGAAAACAATACTCCCGTGTTGCAAAGGAATATAATGATATGTAGCTAATTACAGGCTGATATGTGCAGTAGCAATATCTCTGGACCTCAAAAGCAGAAAATAAGAAAAGTAGAGTTTCAAGGTCTTTGGTAAACCCAGAAGCATGAGACATTTTATTAAAAACAATCGTAATTCATTCCAGTAGTTATCCTTTCATGGATTGTACTATTGAGCAATAGAATCAAAATGTTTTTATGGAGAAATAATAAGCTTGTGTTTTCTGCATCTGAGGTCTTTGTTTGGCATATCACTTTGCTTATGGTGGTCAGCACTTTTTTTCTTTTAGAATCAAAAGATATCGTAAGTAGTTATTTTAATTTTCTAAAATAACTTGAAAGGTCTCTGCTGCATGTTTAATTTACAAAATGGCACTCCATTGCTTGTAAGCAAAACAGTTGCATAATATTTAGAATCACATACTCCACTTCTTCTTTAGAAGTTTTTAACAAAGTTGAAATTTAAGATGTTTTAAAAAAATACTGACCAGCACAAGTATATTTAAAAAAATATAAAAACAGTCTAACCTAAAAAAAAATTGACATTAGCAAATCAAAATGCTTTGTTAAAATCACTGGTGAAAAATGTATACAATGTTTTATGTTTCTCTAACTAAACTTGGTCAAGGTAAATCATACTTCTGTCAGTGTGATTATATAGCAAAGTATCACACCTTGTATCATAGGGTCTCTTCACCACCCTCCCGAAAGGTCTTGGTCATGACAAAATTCTTTAGTTTTCTAGTAAGATTTTTGTAACAATTAATAAATATCCTATAATATCATTGAATTTTGTGCTATAGCTCTGTAACACAATAATTCAATGTAACTACTATTTGAATAACTCATTGTAATAATGCGACATCCTTTTTTATAAATCTGAAAAGTAACTACATTTTATTTATCATTCTAACAATTGACTGACCAAATACCCAAAGTTTTCAGCCAATCAATTAACCAAACATAACAGAAATATATATAGGTAGTTAACAGCAAATATTGTTTATAATACATAATTTGTTAACATTTTATTACAACTAACTGTTGGTTTACTGATAGGTGGTGAAAGACTTTTTTTGGTTTCTTGCTTTAGTGGATTAAAATATTACAGTTACTAGATTAAGTCAATTAATCAGTGAGACCAGTACACACAATCCTTTCTAAACTGGCTTCTTTCAGTCATAGGTATCATCAAATACAAATGCTTATCAACAACAGGACTTCCTACATCTAAAACCTGGAAGCATTATGGCCTGAAATTAAACAAAGGATATTTCTTCTGTGCATTTCACAAGGATGTTATCTACTGTAAATTGGACCAAAATCCTCTCAAATAAACAATCCTTACACCTGTTAAGACTGATATAAAAATAATTATTTAAAAATGAAAATATGTTCATGCATGCTTCCTTAATAGTGTTAAATTTATGAGGGATTACCATAACTTAGGTACCTGGTTTGAATCTCCTCAGCAATTTATTTCACAATATTATACTAGCAAGTTTCTCAAAATATATTGAGGGCAAAATTAGGTAGTTACATGATAATACTTTTCTTGTCTAGGGATAAAAAGTAAATGAATGTCCTCCTAACATGTTAAGTAAACGGTATTACAAAGGCATGGCATGTCGCTGCTAATTACCAAACACTTAACAACAAATGCAACTTTAAAAATCATATGAAATTAAAACTTTAGGAGATTCATATTTATGAGATTCATTTCAGAAAGTTTGTGGTCGGATAAAATTTTATAAATATTTTGACAAGAAACCTTGGAAGCTATTAAAAATTCTCTTTCATCTTTCCTCAGCATTGTTTTCAAGTAACTTCATTGACTACTCTGAAGTTACAAGATACGACAGAAACTTTGATTCTTGAATTTAAAAATAAAAAAAATAATAAAAAAAACAATCAATAAAACAACATGAATATATTTACTTTCACTCAAATAAAAAATTAGTATTCATAGTGACCTGGAGTATCATCTCTCAGCAGACAGTATGCCTCAGAGACATTTACTACCAGAGAAAACAGTATATTACAATATGGCACTTATAAATTTCATTCTTGCATGTCTGGTCTCTCTCTCTCCCTCCCTTTCTTTCTTTTTTACAAACTATAAAGCATATAACAATGATTAGAATAATACTAAGTTTACATTATGTGTATACATATATATATATATATAAGATTTAGTTTTTAAAAACAATAAAAATCTGTTTTAAAACATACAATCTCATAGCACCACATGTTTGCCACGTTTACATTACAATTACATCAAACCATATGAACTGTGAGAGGGTTGTGAACTGACAATGCATACATCATTGAACCAAAGACATATATTACCCTGTTTTGCTCATGGAAATCTAGTGCCATCTTTCTCCTCTCTTTGCGACTAGGCTAGCAACAAATATATTTTAGGTAATAATGTTACAAGTTATATTTGTACCACAGGAACTACTTTTCTATAGTACCTGTCAGGCTTTTTAATACAATAAAATAATTGTAGGCAAGACTGCAAATACTCTTGTAACTCTCTAAGGTACAAACACCAGAGAAAAATTTTGTATGTTCAAAGGATTTGAACTGTTAGTTGATTAGAATGAGTGGAGCGACAAAAAGTGTAGAAAAGTCACATATCTCTGGCTTTTGGAGTCCTATAAACTTGTATCTATTGCATATGTAAAACATATTTTTCCTCTAAGTGCTTACAAAAATCAGACTAGAAAACAGTGTTTTTTTTATGAGAATGCACATAGTTTTCATATAAAATCTCTGTACCGATTTTTTTTTCTTACAACACTAAAAGAAATGCAACCAAACCACTGACTAAAGAGGAACATAATTTTATAAAACAACTTTCTTTGGATAAAACACAACAACCACCACAAACTGGTGAAAATTTCTTTTTTATCCTATCCAAAAATACAAGTTCAACTAGTCTACATAGGAAACAGAAAGGCAATTATGTACCAATAGCACTTGTTCTTAGTATTTTAATTATAATGGTCCATCTGTTTCACTTCCTTTTGCTTCTTAAAGACTTTTGCCCTTAAACAAGGAACATTCCACTCTATGTCGACCACTCATTAATAATCCCATTGAGTGTAACACTTAATTAAAACTACAAATATAAGGCCTAGTGTCACAGGACTCAATGGTTATATTGGCATCTGCATTCTTAATTTTTACCAGAAACAACCCTCTCGTTCTCTCCACCCCAGAAACGCTATGACATACTAACAGTCATCATTCAGTATGTGTTCCACGTACAAGGAAAGTGAAATGCATAAAGTCATAAGTCTATTACTTTTCATCAATTTTAAAAGACTGAAGTTGTGTTGTCATAGTCACAACACGTTTCTCTGTCATTCGCTGTGTCATTGACTGCTTCAGCATTCGCTGTTCCAAAGAGGAGGTCATGTCTCCTTGGTCTGATTGAGACATATAGTTGTTGACACTGGATTCAAAGCTGTTTGTGGTGAATGTCTGTGACGCATCAGATGACTGTCGAATTGAGGCAGGCATGGAAGTTGCATATGTTCGTGTAGCAATAGTTTCACCAGCAAAGCCATCAGATACTCCATTACTACGTCGGAGAATTGTTGAATCACTTCTACCATCCTCTCTGAAATAGAAAGATTTGACCAAATTTTTAAAATACAATTTGTAGAGCATTCCTTTCACATACACACAAATAGTAAAATCATCTTAGTAAAATAATAAAATAAAGCCATTTGTAAAATATATTCTATTTCTACTGATAATTCCTGCAATGACTTTAATTCTTTCTAATATACTTGGTATAAATACTCAACATATACCCAGATAAGATACATTTGGAATATTTCATGAACTTGCTTCTTTTTCCAAGAATTAAAAATTCTATCTTTCTCATATTCATACATGTTCTGAACCATAAAGTTATCACTTGAAACCCACAATAGTCTATATACAAACAAAAATGAAGAAGTGAATAACCATAACTTACGATATAAACAAAAATACAGGTCAACAACTTATAATGCCATTATATTTGAGAAACACACTAAATATGCAAAAATTAGGCTAGTCAACCATTGTATTTGTATTGTTGTATATGGATGTATATATTTTATTGTACCAGTAATGTAAAGTATCTGAATAATTAAATTGTAAACAGTAAACCAATAACAAAACAACAATTTTTTTTAAGAATAACGTACAAGTCTTTAAAATAAATTGCATACATTCTTAGAAGTCAAAGCATATTACGCATTAAATATATTCACGCGAATGAAGATCGTAGCATGTGTACAATGAATGGTCTGTACATTTCCAACTGCCTCTAAAGATTGAGAAATAATGTTTATTTTATGTAATAATGTTAAGATTATGTAGTAGTAATAATAATTGTTTAAGCAATGTAAAACAAATAAAAATATGTAAATCACTGTCTAAATCTAAAATGCTGCCAAAAAATATTTCTCATAATATTTTCGTAAGCAAGAAAAAATTATTAAAAACCAACTAAGTAGCTACAAATTGCTACTGGTACAACATCTGGTGATACAATTTAGTAGTTTTTATGGCTTGCAATTCAGTATCAGAGTCCGAGCAATGAGTTAAAATGGGCGGGAGTTACATGCTTCAGAACTCAAGAACTGTGGAAGCAGAAGGATTAAATCCCTGTTCATGACCTGCACAATGGATGTACATTACTGTTTACCAGAACCCGGAAGCTTAGGCATTTATTCTAGCTTAAGTAGGGGCGCAGAAAGGCATATAAACAATGAAAAAACATCTTTAAAAGGAATGATTGTAAAAAATCAATAATAATTATTCACATTTTTATTCAAGCTCTACAATTTACATTAGCACCTAAAGTGTACGGAAATGATATTTTCTTGGTAATTTCGATTCCACATGACAATATAGTATTATGGCTACGAATTTGTTTTATTCGCTGTGTACTATTCAAAACATTATTGCGGACTCCCTTCTGAATCTTGAAATGGTATCACTGAAAATGGTATTATATACTTCATTCCTCGCACTTGTGTAATCACCAGCACTGAGAATGGTATATCATACACAGAGAGCTGTCCTCAGAAGGGATCGGAGGCCATTCTCAAAAGTAGGACGGGATTGCTCAACAGCTAAGTCTGTCATCATGAAATGCTAAAATCAGAAATCTTGACTGATATCATCCCTTTTTCATTTAAATTTTTAACACAGCCTCTGCTTCCACAGAGAGACAAAACACAACCATGCCTTTATGTTGTCCAGGTTTGCTTGATCAAGATCGGTGCCAGGAGAAAAAAAAAGCAAAATAGTGACGTAAAAGGCAGAAAAGGCCAAAAATAAGACAATATGGCAAAAATAAGCATCAGAAGCTAAAATAGTCAAAATTAAAATATACTAAAACATCTCCAGAAGCACAATTAAGTGATACCTTTTGCCAAAAGTCATTAAATATTAACAATAACGAAGAGGCATTTTGCCAAACTTCCAGGCTCTATTGATTACTGATAGCCTACAGGAGCTAAATTGTAAACACACTGTCAAATTCAATTAATCAATTTCACTATCAACATGTAAAATAAAACAAAAGTACAGATTTATTTACAAAGAATATACAGGATCTTTAGCTTTGCAACACGTCTGGGAACTCCACCTCTTGTTTTGGCAATTTGGCAACATGTGAAATACCATCAGCACCCATTTCACTTTAAGCGACTCCCAGCCATCTGCCTACAAATGGCTGGGAGAATGTGGCCAATTTTAGTTGGAAGAAAGATAAAGCACTTATTTTATTCTTTTTACCCTTCAACGTGTTGTAGCCACTACACTGAAGAGTTAACGTCTCTCTCTTGGCAAATGGTAGTCACTTTCAGCATTTACTCTAAGGTCAGTTTATTTATTACAATATTTTATTTATTTAAAAAAAAATAAATTATTAATGTACTACTAATTTATTTAATTAATTATTAATTTAATTAAAAATTTATTATTTAATTTGCAGGTTCCATAATAATAATAATAACAATAACAATATATTATTATTATTATTATTATTAATAATAATAATAATAATAATGAAGAGTTTGGTGGTAATATTTCATGAGATTTTTTCTGACTTCTCTCCGACCCAGCTTTTATAAAATAATATTCACTGTGCTGTTAATAAATTGATAAATCAGTCATAACTTTCCTCCACATCTTCAGTAGTACAGTTTTGTTTCTTGAGCAGACTGGACAGAATCACCTAAAGAGACGTTTTGTTTGCTTTCTCAAGTCTCTGCCCACCTCACCTACCCTGCCCAGCACAGAGAGATTCCAGTGTGTGAGCCGCATATCTGGCCACCTACACTCTTGAATGGGACAAACACAGAAATCGGAAAGTTTCTGCCGCTTATAACTAGATACTCACTTTCTCTGCTGTCATGAAATGCCAGCAAGGTTGTCTTGAAAGGAGGCAGACATGCAAAATTGCCAAAACAAGAAGAGGTGACCCCCAGACATGAGTTGCAAGTTAAATTGAAGACCCAGTTATTTTGTAAAAAAAAAAATTATTTTGTAAAAACAAATAAATGATGAAAGGATATAACAAAAATATGAGAGACATGGGAGGACAACCCTGAACCGATCAGACTGAGTTCCCTGCTCTTATGGTTGAGAAATGGAATAAGAACGAATAGGTGGCCTACATGAATGTACACGTGATTTCTGTGAACATAGTTGAACTAATCCTTGACACACACACACTGTTGGAATCCTAGTATGTAGTGGGTTGGAATGAATATAACAAATAATGTAGGAACAAAATTCTTGAATAAACATAGGAATTAAATTCCTGAATGAGACATAGAAACCATCTCAAATAGACCACAACTTCACATAGTGACCCCTTAAGGGTGTCCCTAAAATTGCTTCGTTGTCCCCATGAAGACCATAGTTTGCAAACTTATTGTTAATAACAAAGGAAATTTTGAAATGAAATTAACTTAAATTTAGAGTTAAAAAAAATAAATGTACTATTAATATGAGAGTTTGATTTCATCTGTCATTTGCTACGGGTTACCCCTAAATGAATCAACAATTTCAGAAAATAATATGTATTTCCGTATTTGTAAGTTTTTCCTAAATATAAGTCAACTCTGAATATCAGACAACACTCTAGATATGAAGACGCTTCCTGAGAGTTTTTAAAATTTAAACTAACTCTTACTATTTAGTCACCATAAAATAGCAAATTGTTTAATTGACTAGTAAATTGTATGTTTGATGAGAACATTAAAACTATTGCCTGAGCTCTCACAATTTTTTTGTTCCTCAAAGTCATCATCGTGGATTTTATCAATATCATCTTCATCTTAAGGCTCCTATGGCTCCGCATAGACCTGTTCCATTTTCATCATTGTAGGGAGGAAATTAATTGCTCCATTATATTATAATTACCCATATTGAACTTTTAAGTGAATTATTCAAAAGGGGACTACTAGTACATCTAATTTACTCAAAATACAACATAATCAATGGATGAACAATTTGGAGAAAAATTAGGAGGTAAAGTATTTGGGCAGAAATCCACAAGACTGCAATAGATCTCAAGTATCTAAATTTGTCACAGCAGAACAAAAGGAGAAACTAGAGAATAGATAAAACACGACCTAAAGAGAAAAAAAGATGCTTACAATTCAAGTAGTTATGAAGATATAAAACAAATGGCACCCCACAACTGCATCTATGGGTTGAATATTTTTTTGGCTACAAAGATTCCATTCCTTTGAGAAAAAAGATTAGACATCACTTGACATCAATTCAAAAAATTTGAACTAATTTTGTAATATTTCTTAACTTGCAGAGATTTTCTCAAAGGAAAGAAAATAATCAGAAATTTCAGAGGAGATAATGTTTGAATTAAAGAGTTCCAACTGTAATACAGTAGAAATAACAGAGCTCTCAAGGCTCTCACCTGCGAGCATCGGCTTCATCCAATAAACCTCGGATACTTGAGTATGCCTGTTCAACCTTGCTGAGGCTAGAATACAATTTCTCTGGCGAGCTCACAGGTCCAGACGAAACACCATTCAGAGACGTGGTTATTGTTGTATTGGTAGACTGCTGATGATCTTGTTGCTGCTGAAGCTGTTGTTGCATATGTATAGGAGTGCTCTGGTCATAAGATCGTGTTTCATACCTGAGAATGCAAAAGCATGAATAAGGCCCAAGCAATCTGCAAAGTTTAGCATGAAATAATAGCAGAAGTTATATGTACAAACTATATAGCATAAATTATAAAGCAATTGCAGGTCTGAAAATCATTTTGTGCTTCCTGATATTTTCGATAAGAGGCGACCAAACTTATTCAACTAAGGGATTTGAGAATTCAAAGAAGATATTTATTAATGATCTAGTAAAACATGACAAGGATACAAACACAGAAATTTACATGGGAAATTTTTTATAGGCATTAATTTGCATACTAGCAAACTACCAAATACGATTAAAAATTGAAGTTGAAACTGTAAATTGGTTTGTTTCAAACAGCAATTGTGAATTACAATAATTCTTAATATAAAACCTATTTAACATGCAAACATTTATTGGTGTCAATGCACAATTTGAATTATAAAAGATTGTTACAGCAAAATTACAAAAGCAACATTTTGAACTTCTTTTTCTCTCTCTTCAAAGATATACCTACTTGATAAAAACAATTTTATTTTCGACAAAATTACTTAGGGTGGGTTGCGAGAAAAGTGTTCTGTAACATTTTATTTCGTCATTAGCAAACAGTTCTTTAAAATTCCTTGGTCCTTTAACGAGTAGGTCATTGCAAGAGTGATACTTAACGACCAGTTTACTAGTTCTTCTTTAAAAAGGAACAAAAGAAATGGACAATAGTTTTTAAGGTTCGTAGAAGTTCGTTGATGAAGTCCGAAGCCTCCTACTCCTTCCATATGACTGTCTTTTACTGCAATCTTCCTTTAAACGCCTTCATCCATGGAGATCCAAGTGTCTTCTATCCTGTGTACTGTGTAGTTAGGTAATGTGACTTCGTAATTATACAAAAACAAAAAAAAAGAGAGAGAGAGAGAGAGAGAGAGAGAAAATCTTATCACAAAGAAAAAATTATTTCTTTTAGATATTATACAATATATGCATGCGAATCAAATTGAAAATAGACACACCAACCAGAAAAAAAACGAGTGCTGGGAAAAAGTTTCCCAGAGCTTTAATACTTAAGAAAATCACGCATGGTGGAGCAATTGAGAAATATTATTCTTAGGTCTGCTGTTCACACAGCCTGGACATTAATAGGAAAGTCTCCTGTGCCGAATCAGGGTCTCTAATTATAAATTTATTTTATTAGCAACCAGATAACTTGAAAACAAGTGAAGGGGACAACACTTCAAAAATCTATTATAATTGTGGTGAATATGCAATTTATGTTTTCTTTTGTTGCAAGCTGCAACTCGTGCTACCAACATAATTTCTGTTGCTAGCACTCTCACCAGCAAGGTGAGACTGCGGAGAGACTTTTACTGAGGCAATGCATATGGTAATAGATGTACTGTATATTTTATAGGGTAAGAGATATGGTAAGTGTATTGATGAAATGTATGTACAACACCAAGAAACAAGCATGACCACAGTTGTGTGAATATATTTGAAGTGTATTCAAAATAAGAATTTCAAAGAAAATTGAGTTCCTTGGGAAGGAGCCCCAGACTTTAGGATAGTATTTTACAGCATAGTGTCTTTTTGTGTCACAACCAGAAAATGACATAAGAGAAGGACAAATTTCTGTAGAAATTTAAATATTGAATATTTCTTCACTGCTGGGGTAGAATAAGATTCAAAGCAAAAGTATAGACCTGCAGCATCAACAGCTATCTCAAACAAATGTATGTTGAAGAGAGAAAGAAAAATTGTAGAGAAATAACACACTTATAACAAAATGATAGGCGTAGAGGTATAAAAAGTCAAAATAGTTTTCAAAACATGTGACATTAGAACTGAGATTAGTTGTATGGATGTCATATATCCACAGCAATAAAGGTCAATATTATGCCAACATAAAGAATTTTTCTTCATTAATGAGGCATGATTTCCATAACATGTAAGTGATGAAACACTTGAAATTGACTTTTCCGTAGAAATAGGTTGTAAGCATCCCATTGCATAGACGAGGTCTTCTATGTAACTGCTCTCAGTGGTGCAAACAGGCACGCGCAGCGATGGTGTAACAGTTATCATACCGGATTGTTGTACCCAAGTTGGCGGGTTCACACCCGATCGAAGCCGTGGATTTTTAAGGGCGAAAAAATCCTTCGTACGGGAAGTAAAGCCGGCTGTCTCATGTTAGTAGATTTACTTGCATGTAAAAGATCCTCAAGCCTAAATGACGCCTCTGAGCTAAATTGAAATCACCTGTTTCATGCCCAAGAAATAACTCCTTTCTCTGCTAGTTGGTGAAAGGAGTGCAGCAAAATTTGCGTGGTCAGATGGAAGAGCAGGCCTCATGGCCTGAGTCTCACAACGTAAAATAAGGCATTAATTCAATTCAAACAGGAGCTACATGTTGTGCACGGCATAATGTAAGTGCTCCTTGGCAACTGTTGGCTGTACTTGTGATTGTTGCATATTACATCATATTAGTGAGTTTGAGATTGTGGATTGGAAGCCATAGGTAATGGAAGAGGTAAAATAATTCATATTTTTCAGAAAACATATACAACTTTTCTTTTGTTGTGTGATCTGAGAAAACATAAATTTTATAATGTACTTCTATATTACTAATTTCTTAGGTGTAAATGTTTCAAATCGCTCTTTAATAGTTTTAAGCGACATTAAAAATTACATGAACACAACTCACATTACAAAACAAGAAAAAAAAATTAAAGATTTCCTTTGAAGAAATGATTTCATAAAAAACTAATGTAGCTATAGCAGCACACTAGTTTCTTATGAATATCTTCACTACTTTCTTGCATAATTTCCAAATTTGCAATTTTGAAAAATTTAGAAAGTTCAACGAAAATGAAACCTGCTTTTAAGCATCTCTTCTTCTATGCATGGATAAAATTTAAAGAAAAAAATTTGAAGTAGTTCTGAGAGAAAAAAAATCTATATTTTGTGCCAAATTATACAAAAATTACTCATGTTTTTGAAAATTGCACATTAACTTATTTAAAGATTTGTCTTTAAGGAACAAATTTCATTAAAGAAAAAAATCATCTTCAATATTAAATTTGTAGGAAGACATCCAACACAAATTGCACTTTTACAATTTTCAAAACATGTGGGACCTGCATTATTCTCTTACGCATCCCTCACACTGTTCAAGGACAAAAAATTAATGCAAAATTTGGTCCCATTTTTGAGAAAATTTTGAAAATGGTTTGAGGCTTCATGTAAAGTACTCTCAAAACTCAAATTATCCAGTTGAAACTCCCAAAGCCTTGAGTTCATTCAGATCAATCACGAAATTTCAATTTTCAAGAAAATCAGCTGAACAATTAAGTGCTTGTGTAGACCACGAACGGAAGGAGTTTTGCTGACAATACATTTTTTGGTATCAAGGACCTACAAACCTTGGATTCTGGCTACACCATGTGTTAAAGGACTTTTTTTTCCATATTTAGCAATAGGATTTATCCACTTTTTCATTATCATGAACAATAAGAGTTTTTCTGTCAAAAATTTGCATTCTTTCAGTGTACGATTACGTAACTTTCTCAAATTACAAAGTACCTTTGTAAGGTTGAGAAAGTAAAAAATATATCTATCATCAATATTGTAGTTGTCGGAAAACAAGAAAAATAACTTTTACAATTTTCAAAAATTTGGTGTTCAACAAAAATATAATTTTTAATATTTGAATACTTTGCTTGGAATGGATATACATCTAACGTTAATAGCCTCACTACAGTAATAGAAAATTTTGAATCCTGTATTGACCATTCATTGATTAATTTTATAAGGATATAATACCCCTGGTGAGTAATTTTGATTTAACTGAACGTAAAGCAACTATACATCTGGTTTTTGTCAACAAAAAAAAATTAAAATCTCAGGGCAATCTTTTACAACAAGTGTAAATTATAAAAGTACTTCAGAGAAAAAATTGAATGGTTCATTGGAGTTCATTTTATGACATGAAATAAATGTAGCTGTGGATAAATTTATTGAGATGATAGGATGAATGGATTGCTAATCCCGAAGAACATCTGAAAGTAGACATAGAAACATAGCCAGGAAGGCTCACATCACTAAGGGATTAAAATTATGCAAAATTAACTACTGGTCCTTCACCAGCACATACTTCTTACAATCATTCAAATTTTGCCTTTTCAAAAATTTTGATATTTCAATCAAAACAACACTACATATTTTTTTATGTTTGGTTTGCTCATTCCGAAGAAATATTTTTTGTCTATTATATATTTAAGCAGTTTTTGAGAATTTTTAAAATTAATTGCATTAACTTCATGCAGAAATTATGTGACAATACTAGTTTTCTTAAAAAATGGTACATGATTTTTTTTTAAAGATCCAACTTTTCTGAACAGATTTTAAGACAAAAATCTCTATCTTCAGTACTGAAATTTTACACTGTTTTTTTAAAAATTGTATTAATTTCAACCGCAAATTATGTAAAAATTACTTGGTTTTTTAAAAAAACTGTACATGACTTTTTCAAAGAGCTGATTTTTAGAACAGATTTTGTTTAAGGCAAAAATCACTATCTTCAATTTTGTAATTTTTAAATGTTAATATTTTGCATTTTCGAAAATACAGAGTTCGCAGGAACTGAGACTAGCCCCAACTTTTTAACCATCCTTTAACATATACAAAGAGAGAATCTAAAGAAAAATTTGGGGCCTTTTAAAGAAAAAAACTGTTTAAAACAATTTAATAACGACTATATTTCATGCAAAATTGAAATCTTCTCGTATTTTCGAAAAATTGCATATGACTTTATTTCACGATCTATTATTAAAGAACAGATTTCATAAAAAAATTGAACTTTTGCAATTTTCAAAAAATCAGTTATTTCAATGAAAATCATACCTGTACTTTTCTCTCACCAGTGTCTTTTATACCATCTGAAGACAAAGTTTAATCAAAACATTGGTGCAATTTTTGAGAAAATTTTGAAAATGTACCGACTTATGTAAAGAACCCTCAAAAATTAAAAGACCCATTTCCAACTCCCAAAGCCTCCGATTCATTCAGATTTATCACAGAAGATAATTTTGGAGAAAATCAACTGCATGGCTTAGGCGCTCGCATTGACCACAGTCAGACATGTGTGCATGTGTGTGCGTGTGTGCATATGTTTGTTTAACAAGATTTATCCAATTTTTTTGTTAGTAGGGCCTGACAATAAACAGTTTATATGCTGAAAATTCACCGTTCTCCAGGGTAAAATTACAATACTTTCTCTTCTTATGAAGTGTGAGACAGTGAAAAGAATCATAAAAAAAAAGAAAAGAATTTTATCCATCTGATCGTATTTATAAGGAAAATAACAGTATTAGTGTAAAATATTCTTTTATGAAAGGGCATTCGTTGCAAACTATAAAAACATACAAGAAAAATATTTTAGCATTGTAAGTAGAAACTTAACACTAGTTTCCCTGGAAGATAGAAAAGAAATTAGATAACTTAATCATCGCTCTATAATTCTATCTTCTAATTTTTAATGTTAAGATCAAAACTGCAATTATCAATAATAATAATAAGGATGAGTTAATATGAAATTGGATTATTTGGTAACAGAATGACAGAAACAAATCTTTCCTCCAGCCTACACAATGGTTTAAAATATACATTTTCAAATAAAAACGTTCTTTTCTACTCTTCAGCACTTTCAAATTTTTCTTCCTCCTATCCAAAAAATGTCTTGAATTAAAAAGAAAAAATGTGTGTTTTAAAGCAAGAGTACACAATGGAAGCAGATACACAGATAGGTTTGCCTGTGATTTATATATATACACACAATTCATACAAACAATATAGATATAATAAACAAAAAAGAGGCCTCTGCCATGTTTATAAGGGTACTTTGTTCTATCCAAGACCTATTTGGAGCAGTTTTTGAGGAAATCGTGTTTGCAAACTTGCCTACTCACATTTTAGAAAATTGTACATGACCTTATAAAACTATCAATCTTCAATATTGCAGTTATAGGAAGATGCTGAAAAAACTTTAAACATTTACAGCTTTCAAAAATTTAGAGTTTAATGAAAACGAGACCCACGCCATTTTTGTAAGTACATGTAACTCCATCCAAGAACAAAAATTGAAAGAAAAAAAATTTTGACAATGTATTTGACACTTCTTGAAAAGTACCCCCCAAAATCAAAACATCCATTTCAAATTAGCAGGGGTTTCTAGTTTGGTCAGATCAATTGGGGAATATCAATTTTGAACAAAATCCTGTGAACTATATGACTGTTGCCACAAAACCTTTTTTATGTATCAAGAACTCACAAAACGTGCATTCTGACTACATTATGTATTAAGAAAATATAATTTACTACATGTATGACCAAGAATTATCCACATTTTTGGTATCAGGGACCCACAATAGGGAGTTTTTCGTCAAAAATTCATCAGTTTGCATGGCAGTACTTTCTCTTTACAAGGTAAATACAGAGTAGGCAAGAAAGTAAATTCATGAGCAAGTGCAAAATAATTGGTCAACACAAATGCAAAACATACTTTCCACTGATATAAAATAATACTACTGACACACCTACGAATGAAATGAAAATGCCAAAGAATGTTACAAGTAACAACGTTGCCACAAACTTGACTATACAACAAAGAAAGAATAGTTGAAACAATGGGTTAGCTGCCGTTATTGGCAACAATGTATACTGTTCTTATACAAATTTATACAGGGAATAACTTCCACAGGAGTAAATATGGTATATTCAATTTACATCAATTTATTAGAAAGGCTACAGAGGTATATTAAATACTAATATTTTATTTTATTTTCTTATACTTATTTTATTCTTTCTTCTTCCAATGTAATTTGAAATAAAATGAAAATTATTTTATCATATTTTATCAGAGATTACCGTATATGCCTGGTAAAATATTGATTAATTCACTGAAACTGTGCTGCATGATATATTTTAAAATCATTTGATTCATTGAGCCAAATTTACATACAAGTTTTAGTACACTACAATAATATTTAGAAGTCACAAACCTTGTGGTAAAGGATTCATATCCACTTCCATAGCCATCAGTATCTCCATCAGATGGTGATGTTTCACCACCAGTGCCCCCCTTCTTTCGATACTTGGCTTGCCGAATTGCAGTGAGTCTTGATCTCGCTTCTTCTAACTGTTTCTCAATTCTAAGTACTTCAGAACGGGCATTTATTTCCTGTGCAATTCCTCCTACCATGCGACAGTTCAAAACCAGATAATTTTTATCATCCTGGCAAAAGAAATGAAAGCATCAATGTAGCAGCCTGAAGTGTTCAAAATACTAGTAGGTAAAATAGTTATTGGTAAAAAAATTCAACACTAAATATTAAAATTATATTTTAGGATATTCAGTGTATTGTAAGAATACTTCTGCTAATTTATATTTGAAAAAAAACAACATGTTTTTCTAGTTTCTGACAGCAGGAATAATTCCAATATCCTATGCTAATCTCTTCAGTTTCAACACAAAATGGATTCAACAATTTGTAAACACTTCTTACCTGCTGAATTGCTTGTTGGGCAGCTCGAACCAGATTGTCTGTAGCACGCTTCACAGCATTGCCAGCAGCTTGCAATCGCTTAGTTGACTCGGCATCGGGATCAGCTTTAACCTTGCAAGCCACCAACAACTGTGCTGTGGAGGAGGCAACTTGCTTTGCTGAACTGACAAGCTTCTCCTCGCCTGCAGCACCTTGAACTAATGCGTTTGCAGCTTCCACTAGGGAATGTGTTGCAGCAGCCACCAGTCGCGCAGCGGATATAAGGCCTTCAGACCACTGGCCATCATCTGAAGAGTGTAGTGGACGGCGACTAACCTGATGATGGAAACAATGCTTATAATTCTTGGTTGAATTTTTAATACTTTTCTTTAAAATGTCAATTTCAATAAGTGGATTGCTTCTGAAACCGATAGGCTCTAATTGTTAACTGATATTTCTTTCATAACAATGGGTGCTACTAAGGCACTTCTGAAGTGAAAATTTCAAAACTCCACTCGAAGTCCTATATCCTATTATATTTTATTGAACTCCTTTTCCAAACTTTAAAGCTATGATTTGTCAGCAATCAAACCATTAAGTTATTTGACTTGCCTAAACAACTTGATATGGTCGGCAAGTTCAGAATGGCAATTATAGTAATTTTGAACTTCATGGTTATTATGGGGGACTTGAATATATAAACTGTTAAACACACCACAAATTATGTATTACATGGTGAATGATATGAGCTCGTCATCTGCAGAAATGAATCAATATAAAACACTAAAAATTAATACTAACAGACCCAACTTAATATTTGGAAGAACTTATTAAATTCTGAAGAACTTTCAATACTCTAAAACTTTGCTTTTCACACAAAAACTAAGTCGCTTCATCACAAATTTATTAATAAGAAATATCAAATAACATAACAAGGAAAATAATGCACCTAAAACAAGAGAATATTGATAAACTTGCTTCTTGCAATATCTCAAACAACATACTTTGCCTGAGTCTATGAGTTCACGCTGAGCAGCAGAGGCTGCTTTCACCAAGGCAGAGTTGGCAGCTGCAATGGATTTGGCTGCCTCCAAAATCATTTCATCAAAATTCAAGCTTTCATCAGCCTCCTGAAACAATTAAAAACTTAACTTGAACTAATTTCTGGTTAATTAGTACTTGAACATTAGACCTGCACATACTTTTTAATAAAACTCAATGTTTATAAAAACAAACAAATAATGTTTGAAAATTATTTAATATTCTATTTTAATATAAATAAGATATAAAATGTAATTCTTCAGCTACATTACATGCTATGACATCAATACACTAGGTACCAATACAAGCATACATGAATGCGATGAGTCCATCCCCTGCAGCAAGCGATGATTAACTACTGGCTGTAATAATATGTTTGATTCCTGGGTGAAGCATTAATGGCACAACCAAGAATATCAAACATATCTCACAGACAGAAGCAATTTCTGCAGATGTCCATCATTTCTGCTTGATACAGAACGTTCCAAACCTATTTATTACACACAATAAACTAAAAGGAAAAGGCATATAATTTCCTTAAAATATTCTACTAAAGTCTCTGCAGCAAGTCTATAGAAATAAAATATTTTGTTTCTCATTAAATACGTCATGAAAACAAACACCACAATGGAGTTTTCAAAAATTACAGAGATTACCTAGGTACCTATGAACAAAGATTATGTCCTAAATTCCTCCTTGGGTCAAGAACTTTCTGACAGCAAGAGTACAATTTTCTTCAATATCTGAAAGGTTCCTTGTGTACTCATTTCCAAAATTACAAAATATGAACCCAAACTTTATTGCATAATACGTAACAATTTGATAAAAAAACTACTAACACAAAATTAGTTTACTGCTATTGTTAAATTATTATTTTATTGTTTTCTAAAATGATTATTTTCATATTGTTATAGAAACTGAAGTTTACTTTAATGCACTTATTAAATCGTAACATTTTGTAAAATACAATACACGAAATATTTTTAATATACACAAATCAATGTAGGTAGACATCTATCCAATAAAGCAAAAATGATTACTTTATTTAGCAGTTCTAATTAAGCATAGGACTTGTGATTTTTCTACTGAATGGTCAGATAAGGTACAACATATGCATATAAAATATATATATTTCTCATTACCTATAAAAACAGAATTTCAACAAATGTGGATTTTTTATTATCACAATAACACAATGAAATGAAGTACCTGCACAGATCGCCTTGGCCGCAATGAAGCTAGTTTCTTCGCAGCTGCATCAATGGAGGCAGCAGCTCCAAGTAGTTCATTTTCAGCAATCACAGTTGGATCATCAGGATCAACCCAATCTGAGCCTATAACCAGTTCAATCATTTTAACCACCGTACTCATTACAGTTAAAGCCAAAGTATCAAACTGTTTGAAATAATATTCTGGTTTCGATTTCAGTTAATAAAATTTAATTCTTGTTTCAGATTTAGATAAATTTATATTCATATTCTATCATCAGACACAAAAACACCCCAAATCTCAAGACATTTTAGCTTAAGACATTTTGTCTACACTGTGAGCGATTTCTCAAAACATGAACCCAATGTAACCACTTGCACAATCTTATAATTATCTTTAAAAAACCAAAAACTTGATTCATTAGGTTACAGTTACAACTTCACATTTAATAAAAAAAATTCATGGTTTCAGCTTCAGCAGCACCATTGAAATGATTTTAAACAGTTTTGGTTTGATATTTAGGGTTAACATTCAGATATTTGAGTAAATATCAAACACACACATCCTTACATTTGACTGCTTACAGCTTCAAAGATGATTGTTCCAACATAGAATTAGGACACAACATTTATGTTAAAGAATTTATTCCTTTCAATGAAATATTAGTTTTATACATGGTACTCAGTGTTCTTATCAGACTTATTCAGTATGAATGTATGTAACTATATATGTGTTATTGAAATTAGCAAATTTTAATAACTATGGATATTACTTGTAATTTCAAATTATTTTATATATAATAATAAAATCTGAATATCTAAGGAAAATAAATTAAAAGTTTACCTTTAAGTAGTTCTGCAACAGCCACCAATTCAGTCACAGCCTGCGCAATACGACGTGATGCTGGTGCAAGAGTTTGACGAGCTTCTGCTGCTCCAGCAGGATGACTAACAGTGATAAGGACAGTTTGGAGAAGTGCACGATATTGAGCTGCAACTTCATGTCCAGCAGATAACGTGCGTGTTCGCAATTCAGCACTTTCTGCATGAGTTGCAGCACCCTAATGACAAACAAATAGATGAAGAACAACAGTATTAAATTCACAATTAAATTTTACCTCATCTCAATTATTCACAACAATCACGATCCAGTAAGGTGGCACCAAAATTATGTGAAGTATTTCAAAGTTGAGTAAGGGTATGAATAATGTGTGTGATGAATCATAGCCTCTTTAGTACATCACCTTTCCTTGAATTTCTCAATTCTCTTTTTGAATATATCAATTTTATTAATTTAATCACAACTAAATTAATGATTCCTAACAATAAATGCCTTACAAATCAGCCATGAACTTATTACCTTGCAAATATGTAGCATGTCTGAAATAGCTTTTCGTCCCATGTTAGCAGCAACTATAACATCCTCTTGGCGACCACTTGAACCAGCAGCAACAGCCTTTGCAGTTGCAACGGTAATTGCTTTTGTACAACGTACAAGGTCTTCAGGTGAGGTTCCAGGTGCTGCGCCGTGTTGACCTGACCCAGCTGCTGAGGATGGTACATCTGGAGTGTGTAAAGCTCTCATCTCTTGAGCAATGGCTTCTACAGTGGCTTCAAGAGCTCTCGTGCCACGAGTGTGTTCATCTTCAACTGCTTTTACAGTTTTTAGAAGGGATGTCACATTGGTAACCATTACCTGAAGAAAAGAGAATCAATTTTAAAATGGCATTACAATCACTACTACAGAATTTCAAATAAGCTAAAACAACCTTTTATTAAACCATGTGAATACCAATAATCAAACAATTCTATTGTAATTAATATACAACTATGATACTAAAATTCAAATGGCACAATAGGTGTTTGCTGTGTTTAAATAGAAACAGAAGCTGTAGTAGTTTAACTTAATAGTTATACAAATGCCAATTCATTATGTAGAATATGACTTGCACCAATCTTTCTTTCATGTAAGTCATTTCATACAAAAATGGACTGAATGTTCCCTGGCCAATTTGATTTGGATGAAATTCAGTGTAACTACTAGTTTTCATCAAAAAACAACTATGAAGATAGTAATTCGCGAGAAACGACTTTTCGCGAGTCTTTTGTACCGTTCAGTGGCAAATTTATGAAAATGAGAGGTATTTCCAAATTAAGCAAAATAATATACAATTGGAATCAAAACATAATGACGAAAGAACTGTCTAAACATTCAATTTTTAAAAACTATCCAGCTTTACTTGGCATTTCTGTATTATTTGCCAACAACAATAAAAATTTTGATTTTATTTGTTCATTCCAATTATCATTTAATGAAATGTTTGACTGAAACATCTTAAGGTATTATTGGATACCAAAGAGTAAAAGGCCTTTAAAGTACATTTAGCAATGTAAATGGTACATAGTTCAACACTGTACATTATTTGCAATACCCATGTCTTATACAATCAAACTAAAGGCAAGTCAGCAGAAAGAATTAAAATTACTTTCAGAGTGAGAGTAAGAGCAAATATTTTCTAGACTAAAACAGCAAATCCTGGCGACAATAAAGACTGCCTCATCCTGTTCAATTTAAATAATAAACTGAACAAACAAATAATATACTTCTCCAATTGAAAAAAGTGCTAATCAGTCATAGCTACCTAAGACGATTGCCTCACACTAACTTGAATTACAATTGCCTCTCAGTAATCATTAGCATTATACATCTTCTTGAAACAGACAACAAAAATAAGAAAGCATATAAACTTACCACATTCTTCAAAAGGGTAAGAGGG